ATTATTTATAAACAATAAACTTACATTCAGCGAAATGAAACTTCATTATTTGTAAATAATGAATTTAGACTCCCGGCGAAATAATTTATTTATAAATAATAAGATTTACAAACTTTATGATATGTAAATAACTATTTGAGAGATGACCTGATTTATAAATAATTGAAGTTGTGTAGTTTATTATTTATATATCATAACTCTATGATAAAAGATTATTTATAAACCAGGACGAACCTAAAATAATTATTTACATATCAGCGGGCAAGTTCTTTTGTCTGATTTATAAATAAATTTTCTGGCATTTTCAATTGTTTATAAATAAGGGGAAAATGGCACAAATTCGGTCTAAATAATAAATTTACAAACGGCGCCCCATACAATGTTTTCTGACATCGCACAATAGCTTTTTTTGTGGTTAACTTTTCTCATTTACATTACAATGTAATCCAACGTGGATACAAGGCAATTTTGGGTAGAAACTACAAAATTGCCGCAAATTGCTTCACATTCATGCTAAATTATAATTATTGTAATGGAAGTGAGAAAAGCTTATCGTGAAAGGGCTCTTTCAAAAATAATGTGCGAAAATTTCCTATACGACTGCCGATAATTACCCTTTTTTCAGTACACCCATTCTACACCCAGACTGGATTTTCCGATGGACAAATGACGGGAGAAAGTTTTATCACAACTGTGCTGCAGCTCATCGCAAGGCTGAGGAAATAATAAGAAAGAGGCGAAAAGCTCTTCAGGAAAATGTACGAAATCTGACTCAGTAATATGTAGTAGTTTTAGTATGTTTGTAGTTTATCCGGTCTTCGACTTCATCTTTAGCCAATATCGTAAAACTGACCAAGAGAACAATGTCTCTTTTGCTGAACATCCTTGTGGCACCTTTTTTTCATATTTAGTNCAGGAAAATGTACGGAATCTGACTAAGTGATATGTAGTAGTTTTAGTATGTTTGTAGTTTATCTGGTATTCAACTTCATCTTTAGCCAATATTGTAAAACTGACCAAGAGAACAATGTCTCTTTTGCTGACCATCTTGTGGCACCTTTTTCCATATTTAGTACAGTATTTTATCTAGTTTTTGTATTTCTTCGAGCCATCAATTGTAGTAAATTAAATTTAAACAAATTAAATAAATTACTTGTTCATTCTCATTGTAACCTATAACGTGGTTTCCACAGCAAGCTGTTGTGTTTTGTTAAAACACACAACCTGCTTGACCGACAAATTCAGTACTTTTGACCGGTATTTATGTTACTTGGTATTCACGTTAATAAACGCAGGGAGAGAAAAGCAATGCCAAGGGGAAGAAGCATCTGGACATGGTTGACATTGTTCTGGCAGCCAAGGTGATTTTCAGATTAACAAGTTGTGTCTGTCATTCAGTACACCATTGCACGTTGTTTAACATTAGTCCTTAGTCATCCTCAAAAAAATATTGCAATATGTTGCGACTTGTTGACGTTATAACAATTGGCTGATATTTCTATTGCATGTCAAGTCAGGAGAGTTTTGGTGTTGGTGTTGCAGGATGAAGATGGAAATGGTCTAAGTGACGAAGAGATACGAGCAGAAGTGGTTACCTTTTTCGCTGCAGGGCAAGACACAGTAGCTGCTGGTAACTACCTTTTTCGTTACTTTGGCAGTTACTGGTTTCTTTTATGAATGTTGAAAAGCAAGCAAGCCAATCTAGCCTATCAGAACAGACGCAAATAACGCAATGAACCAATCAGAGCTTGGTGTAAAAACATGGTGTGCCTTGTGCGTGAAAACATGGAACCCCATGCCAAGAGCGGGAAAACTTCTCACAACTCATTTCCTGCTCGGAAATCCACCCAACTAGCTCAGAAAGCATTTTTGTATCCAATTAATTGGAAAACTTTGTTATATCACGTTAAAACCTGTACTGGTATGGCTCAGTTTGGAGGACAGATAGGTTTAGATAGTTTAGAGCTTGTTCAGAAAATACATGTGTAACTCTCTAGACGTTTTAAAAGCAGACACGAAGTCTTACCTCCAAGCTCTCTTCTGTGGGATAGGAATTTCGTGGACATTGTACAACCTAGCGTTGTACCCTAAACATCAGAGGAAATGTCAAGAGGAAGTCGATGCCGTTTTTCGTGGCAAAGAAGAACTGGAGTGGTGAGAAACTCAAAAAAAGTCATTGTCCTTGCGCATTGTTTACTCGATTGCTTTTGTTAAGCCAGTGTTAAGACCTGTATATGTGCAGTTGATAGTGATGGTGATGGTAATAGTTTTTGCGATATCTTGCTTCAACCAGGGATGACTTGTTCCAACTAAAGTATGTGACGCTTGTCATCAAGGAGAGCATGAGGCTGTACCCACCCTTTCCAATGTTCAGTCGTAGCTTGGACAAGTCGTATGAGATTGCAGGGAAATTAGTACCCCAAGGTAAGGAATTGGCACTGAGACGTCTGACCTTACGTCATCTTCGTGGCTTGTATTGTAACGTGATTGTTGTAGCTCTCGTAAGGTGTCGCATGAATGGCTTGATACCCTTTGAGAGGACATTAGAACAAACAGCAGAAACAATGCTCCTGGCCCCAAAACAATTGCAAAAGAATTACCAGCTTACGAGAGCTCCTACACATCTGGGCTTGAATGCACCTCTTGGTGGTTGACTGATATTTCATAGTTAGCTTGAATTTAGTTGATATCCCGTGATAAGGATTTGTTTGGTGGATTCTCTGGCATTCTTTTGCAGCCTGCTTAGTAGTTATAACTTGAAGCGTCGTCGTTGTGGCTTGCATTACAATTCTAGTTGATAAACAATGTTTTCTTGTCATCTTTAGCTAGCACCTAACAAAAGGATTTGTGGTTGACATTCTGGCCATTTTGTCCCGAGTGATTGTTGTGACTTTTGACCTAATTTATAATCGTGGCTTGGATGATGCAGTATATGACAAACAATTGTTTTCAGGTTGTTGGCTGGAAAATCTAGTTTCAACCTCTCACAGCGTTTCCTATAGAGTTCCTACAGAAAGCTGTTGTACTCATAACTGATGATCCCGTTTTTATTTCCATATCTGTTTAGGGACGTGGATCATGATCAATGCATATGCATTACATCACAATCCACATGTGTGGAAAGATCCAGAGGTACTTAGCAATTATGACAACGATAACTGTATAGAGGGCACTTTTTAAGTATAACGCGAACGATCATTTTTCAGCGCAATAAATCAATTTTACCCATTGTAATCCGTAGTAATGTCGTATAATTTGATCGTTTCTGCTGTTTTCTGTTTTGGAATGTTTCTTTTTTCGAGGTCAGTTTTAACCAATATTTACACCCTATGTCCTTCAAAATTTGCAACCAGTTTATATATGAAACGACAGCCGGCATTCTTAGTAAGGAATGGAACACACAGTAAAACTAGCCTCTATAACGTCAATGATGCTGAGTCGGTTGTTTACCCAGGCATTTGACCCAGTGAGATTCACTGTTGAAGGCNAACGGTTGCACATTGTTTTAATAATAACAATTCTGACTGGTTCTGATCCGGTGCTTCTGAGTTGTTGATTTTGTTTAATTTGTACCACACTCAGTGTTTTAGTGTTGCCGTGCCGTTAAATGCCAATTTGTGGGTCAGGTAGCAGATCTCTCATAAATGGCTTGATACCCTTTGAGAGAACCATAAAACAAACAGCAGAAGCAATGCCCCGAGCCCAAAAACAATAACAGCTGCTACACTATGACGACAAAGAGAATTACTTACGAGATCTGCTACACTTCTGAAATTTTTGTTTGTAGGTTCAACTTGTCCATAAACAAAGAAAACCATGTGACATCGAATGATCTTTTTCCTGAGATTATGTTACGCACCAAGACTGGGATTCACTTGAATTTGACACCACGACTTCATACGTAACTGCTGCATTTTGCCACTTGAATTAATTAAGTCGCGCAAGCTCTTGTTCAGAATTATTTATATGCATGAGTCAAAAAGTCAAATCATAAAACTTACAGTTGTTCTTGTAAGTCCTCTTTAAGTCTGCAACATTGTGTTCTCTTGAGTCTTGGCTGTTATACATTTGTCGTACAGTGAAGCATTATTCAATTATCATTACTCGCATATTATTTATTGATTTATTCATTATTTGTAATTTATCATCAAAAAAGGCGGTTTTCGTATGACCTAGAAATTCACAAGTAACCACTCATCACGCAATCGCAATGGCTAGTCACGCAATTTTTCTTCCTCAAAATTGCATGGCGAGCGGAACGATAAGTGCATTCAAAGCCTGATATCGGTTTCTTTTGGATTCAGTAACAGCTGACTACTGCGCAAGCGTTTTCAAATTTCAATCCCCAGCCAATCAGTCATATTTTCCTTACCTGACCTGTACCTGTCTCGTGTCAGCACCAAGTTTCCTGCCCGCCTCCCTTCTCGGGGCCAATTGTTGGCCTGGGTTCGAAGCAGCATTCTAAGGACATGTGACAGCCGCCGATTTGACTATTTACTATTAAAAGTAGGCTGACTTTTTCCCTCATTTGATTACAAAATATTTATCTTTTGAAACGTATTTATCATTGTATTGTATTTAAGTGATTCTCTCGTTTACCTTGTTACTGGAGAATTGTTAATAAATTTTGTTGAGAATTATCAATAAACAAGCTGTACACTGGAACTCAAATACCTCATGAACTTTAAACGACTTCTGTTGTCGTTTCTGGATTATAAATTTTTTCACTGCCCAAAAAGCCAATATTCTGCCCCGAACACGGATTGGCAAACCGGTAATTCGGCAAACCCTGCGCGTACCGAAACAACCACGCCCGACTCGAAATAAACCTGGAATATCCTATTAAAATCCGGCCTGGTCTTTCGAATTCAATTGCATACGCCAGATATACATGCATCCTTGAATACACTGGAATACTGAAGGTGTAAGTTTTTTTTTTTTTTGCCCTTGCTGGAATACATAGGAGAATCGCGGATACTGCAAGTGCAGATGTTGTATAACGAAGCCTTAAATATTCCAGGATTTTATGTTGTCACGATTGTATATTTGAGGCTTGAATACAGTCCTTTCGAGGTTGTCAGATAATTTTAGTGGTACGTCAAGAATGCACTGAGCAAATGGGTTTGGTCAATTGTCGATGAAAACACGTTCTATAAATGGCTGATTAACTGAAGTTCTCCGAAATGGGTAAGTACTGTAGATTTTCACAACTTTACGGATAGAGTTGATATAACTGCAATGTATATCTGCACTATAGTAACAATTTGAAACAAAAATAACACAGAAATCAAAATTAATAGATAAAAAACTTTGTTTTATTGCAGGAAACGATTACACCTAGCAAATGAGAGAATATTCTATATCAACCATGAAATATCAATTCCCCTTAGTGCTGTGCCTTACCTTTTCTCTTAACGTTACTTTGGAGAATATACATAAAGTAATTACTACCAGTAGTATATTTTTATTGGCCTCAAGTGGCATAACATAAAATACCAGTATTAATAGCTTGGGGATTTTTACTGTTTTCATTTTACACCTTTTCAACCAGATTTTGGGTTAACACACACTGATAAATTACCGCCTATGAACATATTTTTCTCATATATCAATCTAGGTTCTGAGAAAATTTAGTGTGGAGCTAAGTTTCTACTGGGGTTACATGAACACGACAATATAAATTTTAAGTCAAAATAATATATTAAGTGCATCAATTTGGGGCACCTGGAAATTTCTCCTAGAAATGTGTCCCAAAAATGTATCCTATCAATATATCATATTTGGTATTTACACAAATATGACAATAAATTCTTGATATTCATATAAAACCCTTTCAAAATTTATTATGTCATCATAATAATAACATTATTTTGTCTATTTTACAATATTGAAACATGATGATACTTTTTTATATTACTATAAGTTTTAACTTCTGTTTTCAAGATGGAATCCATAAGCACTCTGAAAAATAAATGTTAAAAAGTTTGTCAACTAATTTTGTAAACTGTTTAAATAAAGTTTCTGATCAGAAAACTGTTTTTGAAATGTTATATTGCACTAACTCTGCAAGAAACACATGCACTAAGCCCTCGAGACTGGTGCTATGCAGCAATATACCAGTTTAGTCGTATGCATCTACAGTAATAATCTGCAAAGGAATTAACCCACCACAGCATGAACCATGTNATTATGATTGTTTGGTTCGATTCCCGATTCTTTGATTCCCGATTTTGGTTCGATTTTTTGCATACCTTTCCAGAGTGCCCTCAGTGAGTTATTACATTGTGAAATCAGAATCCAGAACTCTTTAAAATGTGCGTTTTTGATTGACGGGTAGAGATGTTTACAGTTTGTGCACCATTTTGTCTTGCGTGGTAAAAATGTTGCTCTTCTACCACCCCTTGAGAATTTCCAAATAAGGCAAACCATGTGCGACACGCATTGTATCCTAAAATTAAGAGTTTAGGGTTGTATGTTGTTTACATTGTGTAAGAATTAAAAAAAAACTTAAATATTTTGCACAATCGAATTGAAATAATTGAAATCGAAAGGCAATAATCGAAATTGAATCGAATTGTAAGGAATATGAATCGTTACACCCCTAATCAACAGTTACTGAATAATTTACATGAAATTATGCTGAAAGCAAATTGTGACAAATGAAACAAAACAAAAGGTAAACAAAAGTAAAATTGTGAAAACAAAATGCTAGATAACTAACTTTGATTGTTTTCTGTGGAGTTGATGAGGGTGACCTGAGGAGATGCAGTTGTATTTGATGCTTGTGTGGAATGTTGTGTGGAGTTGACATGTCCAGATGATGGTGATGCTGTTACAGAAGGTTCTGTAACCTTATCAACAGTTACATGTAACAAAGAGTCGCTGGAATTACTTCCTGGTGAAGGAGAGGGTTTCACATTTTCGGCATCAAGTTCATCTTGTTCGATGTCTTTATCAGTTTCTGCTGCTAAGCTGTCAGCTTCAGTAAGACTCTGGTGTTCAGCAGTTTCCTTGTCATTAGAAATGCTTGCTTCTGTACTGTTAACTACTGGGGTATTCTTTTCTAAAAGAAAAAGAAGAAGTCACGTCATTGTTTCAAAGCATTTGACCATAACAGGTTCCGCTGTACTGTAAAGACTCAATTCCATACAATTGATCACTGACATTTATTCCAAGAGTAACATGTACTGGAGTCCTGAACGAGAAACGTCCAGGTAGATGACTGGTTGCGCAGGAAATTAATGAACATGTCAAGGTAGATTCCTTGGGTAGTGCTTGAAATTGAAGAAGGCAAGTAACAATGATGTACACTGGTGATAGCCTGCACTGAAGAAGAGGATTGATTGAGCTTAAGGGTAAGGACAGACAATATTAAGTTGTGATAATCATGAAGTGTTAATGAGTGTCCAATGTATGTACCACCATACATCAGCTGCTGAATACTTTTCTCTACGCTGGGTTTACACATGTATTTCTATAAATTAAAATCCATTTCCATTCTTTTCTTAAACCTGTTTCTTTCAGCAGGTTTAGATTAGAAATACGTGAAAACAAGAAAACAAACAGAATTCTTACTTGGCAAAGTTGTAACTGGCTTTTGGGTTGTTTGAACTTGTTGCACTGATTCTGTGGTTGATTTTTTATTCGATAACTGTTCCCATAGTCTCCTCACTTCTCCTGAGCAATTGCATGATGCTGGTTTTTCATGAATAGCCTCCTGATGTTGATAATTGTACACAGTTGTGTTGATCTGTACAACTTCCAACAACTGCAACAAATTGAGACAAAAAATTGACATAGCATATCGGATAAAAACTTGTAGTTGTATATAAATAATGTTCAAGTGCCTGGACAAATTGAGGATTATAATTTAATATAAAATGCAGGATATATTCTTCTCAAAACATTTACCACTTGTAGGAATTAATAGTGAAACAAATTTCAAAGTCTTCGGTCACTTAATTCATTCTTAAGGTTGATTGCAAACTCAAACAATTTCAAAGTATGTATGAACGCTTTCCAAACAGAGTACCACATACTCTCTGTGGAATAGCCTGCGAATGCAGATGTATTTCTGGCTGTCCCTTGGTTCCCCCTATGTGAGGAATAACATTTATAGAATACTGATTGTTATACCTCCCAAATCAAATC